GATAATTCGACAGTTTCGTGTCATTATTGTATATTTTGTGTTCTTAAACCCTTTTTTATTATATTTTGAAATAAATACACTCATAACTTCAATGTTAATTTGTATGTTTAGTGTTGACGATAACAAACGAAAATAAATACAATAATAAGTAAATAAATAAATAATAATGTTGGGTGTTTGAATTATGGTTACTTTTTATAATAAAAGGTTGGTAACATGAGAGGGTGGCATCAGCATAAAAATGTAAGAACAAGACCATGCGTAACAGATCCACAACAGATCAGAGTGGGCATTGCTAATAAGAAGTTGGTATAATAATAATTGTTAGTAAGAAGTAAGAACGTTATTAGTTGTATGAATATTGTTAATGTAATAATAGTGAAGAATATAAATATAATAAGTAACGGTGTTGAAGTTTAATTAAATTAACGAAGTATTAAACAAATAATAATTATTAATTTAAATTTACCGCCAAAATATCTAGTGATATTTTCTCGTGACTTTTCCTAGTGTAAATCTGACTTTCGCGTTTACTCCTCCTGGTTTAAAAACAGAGTATAGCTAGGTAACATTTAAGAATTCGAGCATGTTACAAAAAAACTTTTAGAACAAAAGTTGTAGCAAATTTTATTCTTAACAATATTGCTCTCTTTCACTTTTGCTCTCAGAGACATAGATATCGATAAAAATACGAAAATATGAAAATTTTATGAATTTTCTTGTTTTATTACTAGCTAGGTAACATTTAGGAATTGGAGCATGTCACAAAAAAACTTTTAGAACAAAAGTTATAGCAAATTTTATTCTTAACAATATTTCTCTCTTTCACTTTTGCTCTCAGATGCATAGATATCGAGAAAAATACAAAAATATGAAAATTGGATGAATTTCCTTGTTTTACTAACTAATGGTAACATTTAGGAATTGGAGCGTGTTACAAAGAAACTTTTAGAACAAAAGTTGCACCTAATCTTTAGGGCACGAAACTTTTGTAACAAAACGATACGATTTCCCCCCCTACAATTTTTCTCAGTGCCTAGTTTTCAGGGTTTGTTTTCTAGAGATGTCACTGAGTGGCTACAAAAAGTGGAGGGGGGAAATCGTATCGTTTTGTTCCAAAAGTTCCATGCCCTAGTTATAGTGGACGTAATTACCGTTAACAAATTATTCAGGCTTATTTTTCAAACAAACCTATGAGCAGAATATGTCGTTTAAAAGTGCACAGTTTAAGCTCTCTTTTAGTATTACAAGTAAAATCGATTACTTAAAAATACAGCAAATTATATTCTTAACAATATCACTCTCTTTCAATTTTGCTCTCAGAAGCATAGATATAGAAAAAATTCAAAGATTTGAAAATTTGATGAATTTTCTTGTTTTAGTACTAGCTAATGGTAATATTTAGGAATTAGAGCATGTTACAAAAGAATTTTTAGAACAAAAGTTGTAGCAAATCTTATTCTCAACAGTATTGCTCTCTTGCACTTTTGCTCTCAGGTGCATAGATATCGAGAAAAATACGAAAATATGAAAATTTCGCTATTTTACAAGTGTATGGTAACATTTTAAAATCGGGGTATGTTATCAAAAAACTTTTTGAATAAAAGTTGTAGCAAATTTTATTCTTAACAATATTGCTCTCTTACACTTTTGCACTCAGATGCGTCAATATCGAGAAAGATATGAAAATATGAAAATTTGATGAATTCCGTTATTTTACTACGTCGTAATGGTAGTATTCGGGAATCGGAGCATTTTACAAAAAAACTTTTAGAACGAAAGTTGTAGCTAATCTTATTCTCAACAATATTGCTCTCTTTCATTTTTGCTCTCAGATGCGTCAATATAGAGAAAATTACGAAAATATGAAAATTTGATGAATTTCGCTATTTTACTACTGCTTAGTAGTAGTATTCGGGAATCGGAGCATGTTACAAAAAAACTTTTAGAATAAAAGTTGTAGCAAATTTTATTCTTAACAATATTGCTCTCTTACACTTTTCCTCTCAGATGCATAAATATCAAGAAAAATATGAAAATTTTATGAATTTCGCTATTTTACAAGTGTATGGTAACATTCTAAAATCCGGGCATGTTATCAAACAACTTTTTGAACAAAAGTTGTAGGAAATTTTATTCTTAACAATATTGCTCTCTTACACTTTTGCTCTCAGATACGTCAATATCGAGAAAGATACGAAAATATGAAAATTTGATGAATTTCGCTATTTTACTACTGCTTAGTGGTAGTATTTGGAAATCGAAACATTTTACAAAAAAACTTTTAGAAGAAAAGTTGTAGCTAATTTTGTTCTTAACAATATTGCTCTCTTTCATTTTTGCTCTCAGATGCGTCAATATCGAGAAAAATACGAAAACATGAAAATTTGATGAATTTCGTTATTTTACTACATCGGTCGTAATGGTAGTATTCGGGAATCGGAGCATGTTAAAAAAAACTTTTAGAACGAAAGTTGTAGTTCATTTCATTCTTAACAATATTGCTCTCTTTCACTTTTACTCCCACATACAGCATTGCCAACCCAATGCGAACCCAAATGAGTTATATCCATCGAGATATACTATGTTTAAATAAATTATATGTATCTCGATGGTTATATCACTCTTAATTTCTTANTAACAAGGTTTGTTGTGCTACGTTAGCAGTAAGTCTAGTATAAGTATAGTGTAATTAATTGTAAAAGAGATAGTTACAAAGAAGTCAAATAGAAGTTAAGACGATACAGTCTTTAATTATTAATTGATCACCTTTACCAATCTTCCCAATACTTAATAGAGAAGAACACTTATTAAGTTATTACACTAGCTAATGGTAACATTTAGGAATTGGAGCATGTTACAAAAAAACTTTTAGAACAAAAGTTGTAGCAAATTTTATTCTTAACAATATTGCTCTCTATCACTTTTGCTCTCAGAGGCATAGATATCGAAAAAATACGAAAATATGAATATTTGATAAATTTCCCTGTTTTACTACTAGCTAATGGTAACATTTAGGAATTGGGGAATGTTACAAAGAATCTTTTAGATCAAAAGTTGTAGCTAATCTTATTCTTAACAGAGTTGGTCTCTTGCACTTTTGCTTTCAGGTGCATAGATATCGAGAAAAATACGAAAATATGAAAATTTGATGAATTTCGCTATTTTACAAGTGTATGGTAACATTTTAAAATCGGGGTATGTTATCAAAAAACTTTTTGAACAAAAGTTGTAGCAAATTTTATTCTTAACAATATTTCTCTCTTTCACATTTGCTCTCAGGCGCATAGATGTCGAGAAAAACACGAAAATATGAAAATTTCATGAATTTCCTTATTTTACTACTAGCTAATGCTAATATTTAAGAATTGGAGCATGTTACAAAGAAACTTTTAGGACAGAAGTTGTAGCTAATCTTATTCTTAACAATATTGCTCTTTTTCATTTTTGCTCTCAGATGCGTCAATATCGAGAAAGATACGAAAATATAAAAATTTGATGAATTTCGCTATTTTACTACTGCTTAGTGGTAGCATTTGGAAACTGAAGCATTTTACAAAAAAACTTTTAGAATCAAAGTTGTAGCTAATCTTATTCTGAACAATATTGCTCTCTTTCATATTTGCTCTCAGATGCATCAATATCGAGAAAGATACGAAAATATAAAAATTTGATGAATTTCGTTATTTTACTACGTCGTAATGGTAGTATTCGGGAATCGGAGCATGTTACAGAAAAACTTTTTGAACAAAAGTTGTAGCAAATTTTATTCTTAACAATATTGCTCTCTTACACTTTTCCTCTCAGATGCATAAATATCAAGAAAATATGAAAATTTGATGAATTTCGCTATTTTACAAGTGTATGGTAACATTTTCAAATCGGGGCATGTTATCAAAAAACTTTTTGAACAAAAGTTGTAGCTAATTTTGTTCTTAACAATATTGCTCTCTTTAATTTTTGCTCTCAGATGCGTCAATATCGAGAAAAATACGAAAATATGAAAATTGGATGAATTTCGTTATTTTATTGCGTCGTAATGGTAGTATTCGGGAATCGGAGCATGTTACAAAAAAACTTTTAGAACGAAAGTTGTAGCTCATTTCATTCTTAACAATATTGCTCTCTTTCACTTTTACTCCCACATACAGCATTGCCAACCCAATGCGAACCCAAATGAGTTATATCCATCGAGATATACTATGTTTAAATAAATTATATGTATCTCGATGGTTATATCACTCTTAATTTCTTACCTTTATTTGCTTCGTTGAGGTTGGCCGCCCAAAGTATTGTTCGTGATATAAGAATTAATCTCCAAGTATCACGAACAATACTTAGAGCGACCGACGTCTTCGAAGTCGGCCGAGACAAAATCGTTATTTTTTTAAGTGGAATGATATTGGTTCAAATTTTTTATGTAAAAATAGCACAACTTGAACTAAATTAACTATATCAATCCACCTTATATGGAATGGTCAAAAATGGAATAACTCTTTTATCTTATAAGAAAAAATAAATTAAAAAGTGATACAAACCATCGCAAAGAGTTCTTGATTTGGATTCACGTCGTAATGAAGTTTCGATGCGAAAATAATCGCCATCGACATCGAAATCGAGTACGAAACGATGCAGATTATCAACGAATCCACAGCGATTTCCGGTAGAAGCGAAAAAATCGGTAGTGTAGGAGCCGGAAGTCTGCCAAAAAATTTGTCAATAAAAATCAATTTTTGTTCAGATAAGATTATATTAATTAACCAATTAAAATATAGTTTTGAAAGTGATAAATCAAAAAAATAAAACTTACATCGTTCTTACCCTGTAGGAATCTCCCCGACGATCGTCACGTTGTATTTAGCGTTAAAATCCCCGAAATAACTCGAAGCTGTTCCGATTAAAACGGCCGCTAATTCTATAGGAAACGGTATCCTCGTTCTTTGCGCCAACCAAGGCTATAAAAATAATTTATTAATCACAAATTTAATAATTAAATTAAGTTGTAATGATTACTTTAAATATTTCGTTATTTATGACCATAATAACGATTGCTGTCATTGATATTGAGACCGCTGTGTGGTTCGCTAAAGGTATTGCCATAACTATATCATAAATTGACTAAAAAATAATCGATTAAAAATTTTTTTTAACGTTAAATTAATTCTAACCAAAGGTAAACTAAAAAATCCTCTCCGTTTCTTGAGGGGCAACCCGAAAAGATCCTTCATTTGCGAAACAACAACGTAGCAAGCTGCAGCGCAAGTAAATCCATTCACCAAAACGTCCGATAATAAATTTGAAATCACCCCCAATCTCAAAACGTACATAATCAACTAAAAAATGATTTATATTAATAAATATTAATTAAATTTGTGTTAAATCGTACTTGCCAAGCTGCTACGGCAAAAGTAACGGTTATTGCAACGGCTATTGGGGGATATTGTTGGTGCTCGATTACTCCATTATCGGTTTGATTATGAGTTAACATCTCCATCCAATTCGCTTGATCGACATTTTCCGGAGGTTTCTCTTCCGTGCTGTATTGTGACACAACTTTTCCCGTCATCAAACAGACGATAGCAAAAGTGCCCATTGAGACATGTCGCGATGTGCCGAAAAAAAAGTATATGATCACGGGGAAAAATGCCATGTATATACCGACAGCTGGGGGGACGTTTCCTAATAACGAATACGCTATACCCTAAAAATTAGAAGTAATAGAAATGAAATTGAGGTATAGTTTAAGAATCATCAAGTCGCTTAAAAATCGAAAATTTTTGTTTTAATCGACGCGAAATCAATCAAGTTATCCGTTACAAATTAAAAAAAAGTGCGGAAAAGTCCAAAATTTAAGATATCACTTTTTTAGCGTATTTTTATCGAATTAAAAGTAAATTAAAATTTTTTTTTTTACTTTAATTTTATTATTATATTCATAATCTTGATAAAATAACCTTTAAAATGAGCCCAAACATGACGTATTTATCTCAAAAGACAAAAAAGTTAGAACAAAAAATCATTAAACACGAAGTTGGCAGCAATGAAGATTTTTAAATATTAATACCAACCTTAATTTTCGATTTTTTTTTATTATTTTTTCATTTTTGTGGCAAATTTTAAGACATTTTATAAAAATTAAGAATGTATCAAAATGACGTTGACATTTCAAACCGGAAGTTGACCATAACTTCGTTAATATTGAAGTTTTACACTAGCACTACCACTAGAACTAACACTAAACCTAGAACTAGAAATATTCAGGTTTAGCCGTGTGTTTAAAAATAATTTTGGTGTTTTTTGAAAGAATTTCAACGCACGGCTAAGAAAAAAATTTTCAGGGATTAACGTTAATTTCAATTTTGTTATTATATTCGTAATCTTTGTAAAATAACCTTTAAAATGAACCCAAACATGACGTATTTATCTCAAAAGACAAAAAAGTTAGAACAAAAAAACATTAAACACGAAGTTGGCAACAATGAAGATAGCAATTTAATTTTAAAATATTAATACCAACCTTAATTTTCGATTTTTTTTATTATATTTTCGTTTTTGTGGCAAATTTTAAGACATTTTATAAAAATTAAGAATATATCAAAATGACGTTGACATTTCTAACCGGAAGTGACCATAACTTCGTTAATATTGAAGATAAATATGTCGTGTTTGTATTCATTTTAAAGGTTTTTTAATGAAGATTACAAATATGTCAAAATTGACGTTGACATTTTAAACCTGAAGTTAGTTGTCATATAATAGACAAATGGATAACTTCATGGTGTTTTTTCATGATGTATTTTTTATTAAAAAAACTTTCTTAAAAAGATTTTTAAAGATGTCAAAAAGTCTCTCAAGTTGACCAGGCCTTCCTAAAGAATTGAAAAATTACTAAAAAGTGTCCAAAGGTTTTCTGGACAGTTATAAAGTTTGTCTAAAGTATTTTAAAATCGTCAAAACGTATTTATACGCATCCTGGACATTTATGAAGGTATCCAGAGGGTTTTTAAAGATGTCAAAAAGTGTCTAAAAGCTTCCTGGACAGTTCTAGAAGCTGTCTAATGATTTATATACCCGTTCAAAAGTATCCTCAAGCTTCTTAATGATTACTATAGCCATCAAAAAGTGTCCAGAAGATGTCTAATGATATCTAGAATCGATAAAAACTGTACAAATGGTGTCTAATGATATCTATAGGCGTCAAAAAGTGCTCAGAAGGTGTCTAATGATATCTAGAATCGATAAAAATTGTCCAAATGGTGTCTAATGATATCTACAGTCGTCAAAAGGTGTTCTGAAGATATTTAGTGATTTCTATAGTAAATAAAAAGTGTCCAAAAGCTTTCTAATTATTTCTATAGTTGTTAAAAGGTGTCCAGATGGTGTGTGATGATATCTATAGTAGTCAAAAAGTGTTCAGAAGGTGTCTAATGATATCTAGAATCGATAAAAATTGTCCAAATGGTGTTTAATGATATCTACAGTCGTCAAAAGGTGTCCAAAAGATATTTAATTATTTCTATAGTAGTTAAAAACTGTCCAGATGGTGTCTGATGATATCTATAGTAGTCGAAAAGTGTCCAGAAGGTGTCTAATAATATCAATAATGATTTCAGTGTAATATCAGTATATATTTAGTCAAAATCTTTCATTTAATTCTGTGTAATATCGGAATTAAACGTATCATGTTTGGGCTGATTTTAAAAGATTTTTCACGACGATTACAAATATGTCAAAATTGAGGTTGACATTTTAAATCTGAAGTTAGTTGTCATAAAATGGACAACTTCATGGTCTTATTTCATGATGTATTTTTTATTAAAAGTACTTTTAAAGTGAGTCCAAACAAGATGCATTTCTCTCAAAAAACAAAAAAAAAGAGAATTAAAAAAATTAAATAACACAAAACGTGACGTCACATCGAAAATTTAATGTGATTTTGCGGTATGTTCTTTTTGGGTCGATTTTTAAGTCACATGATGATTTTTGAATTTTTCTTAAATTAAAATTGATATAAATAAATAAATGTACCTGAGGAATATGCATAATTGCAACAGTTATCCCACTGATTATATCACCGGTGATATCTTGTTTCCAATTGTATTCCGGTAACCATTTCAAAACGGGAATTAATTGTTGCAAAAACGTTTTGCAACTGCACGAATTGTATTTATCACGAACGACTTCTCCAACTGCAACAATTTTTATTAAAAGAAATTAATTAAAAATAAAAATATCCGTAAACGTCAACTTTGACACATAATTTTTTTAGGTTACGTAAACGTCAAACGAAACATTTTAAAAATTAATTTAATTAATTTAAATTTTTGTTATTCACTTATACTGATCACTTAATTATTTATATTAATTACTTGAAACGGTCGGTTTTTCATATTCCGATGCTAAATGTAACTCTTCTTGTCCGTAAACTGGTCTTTCGACGTGAAGATCATTCGGAAGATTTCCATTTGCCAAACTGTAAAACGTAAACAAAGAATTTGTTTATTAAATAAAATAAAAAGATAATTTTTGGAGTTTTACCGTCTGCGTTTATTCAAATTCGATTTCATTATTTTTAATTACCATAATTATTTATAAAATAAAAAAATTAGGTTATGTAAACGTCAATTCTGACGTTTAAATCTAATTGTAAGTCATTTTAAACGTCAAAATTAACTAATTTTACCTGAAAACGTTGTAAGTACTGGTTCGCATTAAAAGCGGCTTTCTTTCCTCGTCCATTTTGATTTTAACAACTTGTTTGTCGCGTTTTTTATAAAAAACCCACGACAATATGGTTATTATTGTAAAAGTACACAGTTTGAAACGATTTTATTTTTGTGGTTTATATGCAAAATTAGTGGTTTATGCTGCGTTAACTTGCTTTAATGAATGTTTTTGTTAGAATGCGAACGAGACTCGTAATTCTATGCGGTTATAATCGCAAAATAACACGATAAACAGAAATCGGGGTTGAGTTTATCAGTTTTGTATTTAGCTGGGATTAAATTGAACTTTTAAATTATTAAATTGTTATTAAATTTAAATTTTAATAACATATTTAAAACATTTTAAGATACGACTAACAATATTCTTTGAATGTTTAACAATTCGGTGTAACATATTTTGAGATTTATATCGCTCCCCAAATCTTCTAGATATTTTGGAGAAGATACGTTACTTTAAAAGTATGTAGAAAATGAATTGGTCATCTTGAAAGCTTTAAAGTTGGTACAACTAAACTTCAAACGTTCCATTATAACCTCAAAAAGTTTGATTCTTTCAACCTTAACCGTTTCAGAGAAAACAATTTTTTTATAACAACATCTTTAAAAAACGTCAAATTTAATAGGAGATTTTTAAAAATTAATATCAAACGAATAGTTCACTTTGAAATGTTATAATTTGGCACAAATTGATCCCAAACGTTCCTTTATAACCTCAAAAATTTTCATTCTTTTAATTTTAACCGTTTCAGAGAAAACGATTTTTTTGTAACCTCACTTTTAAGAAACGTCAAATTAAGTAGGAGATTTTTAAAAATTAATATCAAGCGAATCGTTCACTTTGGAAGATAATAACTTGGTATAAATTAATCTCAAAGCTTCCTTTATAACCTCAACAAGTTTCATTCTTTCAATTTTAACCGTTTCGGAGAAAACGATTTTTTTATAACCACACTTTTAAAAAACGTCAAATTAAATAGGAGATTTTTAAAAATTAATATCAAGCGAATCGTTCACTTTAAAATGTTATAATTTGGTAAAACTTAATCCAAAACGTTTCTTTATAACCATTTTTTAGCCGATTTCTGATTAATTTTAATTGAAAAGTTTCAAATATCCTAAAAATCCAACGAAAATTTTTTACGATTTAACATTAAATTCGTAATCGTTATTAAGAATGCTTTAATTTGATACCAAACTCAATATATTTTAGTCAAAAATCAAAATTGAGATACATCAAGATATATATCATGATTATTTGAGATATATTAATCAAAATTAACAGAAATACATCGAGTTTGGTATCATTTTAAAGCATTTTTANCGTTCACTTTGAAAGGTTATAATTTGGTATAAATTAATCTCAAAGCTTCCTTTATAACCTCAAAAAGTTTCATTCTTTCAATTTTAACCAATTCGGAGAAATTAATTTTTTTATAACCTCACTTTTAAGAAACGTCAAATTAAGTAGCAAATTTTTAAAAATTAATATCACTCGAATCGTTCACTTTGAAAGGTTATAATTTGGTATAAATTAATCTCAAAGCTTCCTTTATAACCTCAAAAAGTTTCATTCTTTCAATTTTAACCAATTCGGAGAAATTAATTTTTTTATAACCTCACTTTTAAGAAACGTCAAATTAAGTAGCAAATTTTTAAAAATTAATATCACTCGAATCGTTCACTTTGAAAGGTTATAATTTGGTATAAATTAATCTCAAAGCTTCCTTTATAACCTCAAAAAGTTTCATTCTTTCAATTTTAACCAATTCGGAGAAATTAATTTTTTTATAACCACACTTTTAAGAAACGTCAAATTCAATAGGAGATTTTTAAATGTTAATATGAAGCGAATCGCTCGCTTTGAAATGTTATAATTTGGTATAAATTAATATCAAACGTTCCTTTATAACCTTAAAAAGTTTCATTCTTTCAATCTTAATCGTTTCGGAGAAAACAATTTTTTAGGTTGAAGCCGATTTCTGATTAATTTTAATTGAAAAGTTTCAAAAATGCAACGGAAATTTTTTACGATTTAACACTAAATTCGTAATCGATTAATTAAGAATGCTTTAATTTGATACCAAACTCGATATATTTTAAACAAAAATCAAAATTGAGATACATCAAGATATATATCATGATTATTTCAGATACATTAATCAAAATTAACAGAAATACATCGAGTTTGGTATCATTTTAAAGCATTTTTAATTTTGATTATATTAAATTGAGGTTGAAATCGATTTCTGATCGATTTTAATTAAAAAATTTCAAATATCTCAAAAATCCAGTGATATTTTTTTTATGATTTAACACTAAATTCGTAATTGTGATTAAGAATGCTTTAATTTGATACCAAACTCAATATATTTTAGACAAAAATCAAAATTGAGATACATCAAGATATATATCATGATTATTTGAGATATATTAATCAAAATTAACAGAAATACATCGAGTTTGGTATCATTTTAAAGCATTTTTAATTTTGATTACATTAAATTGAGGTTGAAATCGATTTCTGGTCAATTTTAATTAAAAAATTTCAAATATCTCAAAAACCAAGCTGATTTTTTTACGATTTTAACATTAACTTCGTAATAGGGGTTAAAAATGTTTTAATTTGATACCAAACTCGATATATTTCCAACAAAAATAAAAAAATTTAAAAAAAAGTGAAAATCGAAAAAAGATGGCCGCCGATAATCTTTAAATTAATACTTCCGGGTTGTTTTTTAAGATAAATACGTCGAGTTTGGTGTCAAATTTTAAGTTTTTCAAAAATCTAATTGAAAATAATAAAATTTGTTTAATAAAATTAATTTTAATTTTTCTTAATTGATTAAAAAATAAAAGAATCGATTTATCTTAATTGATTCAAAAAGAAAATCGAATTTGGATCATTTTAACACCAAACACGATGTGTTTATGTTTAAAAACAAAAAAGTTGCGGAAAAATTAAAAAGAAAAAATGAAAATCGAAAAAAAGATGGCGGTCGAAAAACTTTAAATTTATATTTCCCGGTTGTTTTTGAAGATAAATACGTCGAGTTTGGTGTCAAACTTTAAGTTTTTCAAAAATCTAATTGAAAATAATAAAATTCCAAACGTTTCTTTATAACCTCAAAAAGTTTCATTCTTTTAATCTTAACGGTTTCGGAAAAAATGATTTTTTTTTAAATTAATTTAAAATAATACTTACTTGGTTAATTGTGTGTCTTCAATAATAATTTTATCAGCTACCATTTCCTCTAACTTTTTAAATAGAAGATAACGATTTGTTTTTTTGTAAAAACTGAAATAAAAAGATATTTTTAGGAATTATCAATAAGAAAACCACCTCAAAATGAAACTTTTTCTCTACAATTCCCTTTTTTATATCGTTCGGTCACGCAAAATAAGATAAAATTAACCTTGAGTCCCGTATCGATCTCACACGTATTTTATATCAAGTGTTAACAATAATCTAATTGTATTTATCACGTTTTTTCTTCAAAAACGTTTCTTCTATTCACGTTATTATTTAGTATTTCAATTTGAAATTGATATCACGGATTATTTTAACCAAAACCGCTTTATATGTTGATATAGATAGGTTTAGTTTACACCATCGAATGCGATAACATTACAACACAATGACTAACTAAACTTTGTCAATGTGTGTATAACACGAGTAGAGTTCATCACTTTCTCGCAATAAACCTTAATCAAACGCGTAGTGTTTTAATCGAACAGATGGTTTTAATTAGAGTGACGCTTTAATTAATAAATTAAAGAAATTTTATTATAATTTATTATTTTTATTGATTTATTACAACAAATATTTCCCTGCTTTTAATCTTATCGACTGTAACAATTCAATCAACACCTTAACTTGAGACTGTTTGATTTTATTGATAACAATATAATATATCATTAAAAAAATGAAAACATCTTACGCAACTAAATCTAACTGCAAGTTGAGGTGCGAAGGTCGCTTTATCGAGAAATTTTTAAATCAAGGACTGTTTGTTGTGAATAAATGTTAAAATAAATAATGTATTACAACGAAACGGGGATTTCCACTTTCAATAAAGACCGAAATATTCTATTTTTACCTTCTTGGCAAGGTAGAAAGAAATTTCACTCCGAAACAACCAAAAAACCATCTAAAAATACCCCAATATGCTTTTACGTCTTTATAAATAAAAAAGAGCCACGTGGAGAAATGTTTCGAAATTGTGTTTTCTGGTTCAAACTTAATCGAAAACAAATTCGATTAATTAATCATTACTTATTAAGTAATAACCAAAAAAAAACTTACCCTTAATTCAATTAATTTCTAATTTATTTCAAATAAAATAGAGGTTGTTTGGTTAAAAAAATGAAATGATAAAGTCGTTTATATCACTTTGTGGAGGTCGAAACAACCGAAAACCGAAACAATAGCATGGCGGAAAATAAAAAAAACAATATAAACAACGAACGCGCGCCAAGGTTGCTTGGATACTGATCGATTGAAGCCAAAACGAGCCGCGATACCCGCCGAGACTTTCGACGTTTTGAACACGTGAGACTGCGTGTTTTGCGCTGCTTATTTTTATTTTAGGTTCGACTTGCCCAAATTATAACAATAATTATTATTAAATTATTTATAAGCGCCAATTTAGGAAAGGGAATGTTTTAAAATAAAAATTTTATTACAAAAGATGTATTTTTAACAATATTGCTCTCTTCCATTTTTGCTCTCAGGTATCAAAAAAAATACGAAAATATGAAAATTTGATGAATTTCGTTATTTTATAAGTGTATGGTAACATTTTAAAATCGGAGTATGTTATCAAAAAACTTTATGAACAAAAGTTGTAGCAAATCTTATTCTTAACAATATTGCTCTCTTGCACTTTTGCTCTCAGGTGCATAGATATCGAGAAAAATACGAAAATATGAAAATTTGATGAATTTCGCTATTTTACAAGTGTATGGTAACATTTTAAAATCCGGGCATGTTATGAAAAAACTTTTAGAACGTAAGTTGTAGCAAATTTTATTCCTAACAATATTGCTCTCTTGCACTTTTGCTCTCAGGTGCATAGATATCGAGAAAAATACGAAAATATGAAAATTTCATGAATTTCGCTATTTTACAAGTGTATGGTAACATTTTAAAATCGGGGCATGTTATCAAAAAGCTTTTT